TATTAATTTTTTGGACAAAATTCATTTGAATTTTTTCCAAAATTCTTGCTGGAAAATTTTATTTTCTGAACCGAAATAAATTCAAATTTGAATTTATTTTTTCTGTCCATATATTTCCTCTTCCAGTCCATTATTTCTGAATAGATAATCAGGCCAAACAGGTCTCAAAATCTGTTACACCTGAACAGATTTAACTGCGGTGCAGTTATTTGTTATAACTGCCAGATCTGTTTGCTTTTCAAATCTATTCAGAAATAATGAACTGGAAGAGGAAATATATGGACAAAAAAAAAAAATTCAACTTTGAATTTATTTCGGTTCAGAAAATAAAATTTTCACGCAAGAATTTTGGAAAAAATTCAAATGAATTTTGTCCAAAAAATTTATATTAGAACTGACCCGACCTACAACCGCGCCCGGCACGGCCGGACGGACGGCGACGGCGCGCGCATGTGTGGTGGTTTGGGCTAAGGTTCACTTTGTCCATAACTCTTCCCTTTTACAAACTTGGGGTGCCCCTTGAGGCCCAACCCAAGTGTTGTAATCTAGAGCTTATATACATACACAAGCTCTCTTAAAGTTTCAATGTGGGACAATCCATTTCAAGGAAACCCACATTTACTTCTTTAATTGTCTATTTCACGAATCCGAAAACAATGTCAACTTCCCATTCACTCATAAATGGTTTTGACGAACTGTTTTCACCAGGTTACTTGTCATGCGGCAAGGAACACGTCACCTCTTCGGACCCACCCCAAAAGACGTTTGGGGCCCACTCAATTTTGGGCTCAAAGTTGGCCCAAAATAAACCTTATAAAACCAAATTTCCAACAATCCCCGACATGAATGGAATTTGACGGAGACAAAATGCAACAACATGATCTAATTACAGAGAGTACAAAAATTGAAAATATTCTGCGAAGAATAAGTAGTTTTTGGTTTTGAACCTTTTCTTGTGAGACACTATCGGATTTACTAGTTAACTAGTGAACATGATGTCTTGAACTGTTCAGCCGTTTGTGTAAACCAAAACAATAGAACTCACACAGAATATTCCCAGACATAGTTTAGTTCTCACTATTGTGTTCATTTTGGCTCTGAACAACCTGGTCTTTTATGAGTGCTCTAGAGAATTATAGCCTTTCATAAATCTCATAGAATCGGCCCAGTTTACACTCACATAGGTGATTCTTATGAAAAGTATCCTGCCATACTCTACTAGGTTTACGTAGATATAAGAATCATTAAAAGTATTACTTAATCTAAAACGCTACAGACATCAATATTTCATCATAGAAATGGGTAGGAGTTTGACTCTCCAGTGATTCTTCTGAGTCATACTTAACTCGGTTGTCTCTTTGAACCTAGATCTTGGGATCTCCAGTCAACTAGATTGGGTTGCCATTGTGGTAACTCTTATTTAATAGGCTTAAGTCGCATTTCTCTCGATGAATTATCAACTAGCTCTCTTGCTAACCCTTTGGTTAGTGGATCCGCTATGTTGTCTTTAGACTTCACATATTCAATGGAAATAATTCCATTAGAGAGTAGTTGCCTTACGGTGTTATGTCGACGACGAATGTGTTGTAACTTACCGTTATACATATGACTCTGTGCTCTACCTATTGCTAATTGACTATCACAATGTATGCATATAGCAGGCATTCGTTTTGGCCACATTAGAATATCTTCAAGGAAGTGACAAAGTCATTATGCTTCTTCCCCAACTTTATCTAAAGTTATAAATTCTAATTCCATAGTAGACCTAGCAATGCAAGTCTGTTTGGAAGATTTCCAAGATACAGCCGCACCACCATGAGTAAAGACATACCCACTGGTGGCCTTTGAGTCTCTAGTATCCGATATCCAATTTGCATCACAGTATCCTTCAAGTACTGCTGGATATCTAGTATAATTTAGCCCAATGTTACGAGTAAATCAGAGATATCTTAGAACCCTTATAATTACTTTCTAGTGTTGTACTCCTTTGTTACTCGTATATCTACTTAATTTACTTACTGCATAAGCTATATTCGGATGAGTGCAGTTCATAAAGTACATTAAGCTTCCAATAATTTGAGCATACTCTAATTGAGAAATATTTTCCTGTACATTCTTATAAAGAAACAAATTAATATCCACAGGTGTTCTAGCAAGATGATCATCATTTTTACTAAATTTGTCAAGTATTTTCTCAATGTAATGAGATTGTGATAAAGCATAACCTTCGGATATTTTGATGATTTTCATACCAAGAATTACATCATCAATCCCCATGTCTTTCATGTCAAAATGTTTATTCAACATTTTCTTGGTAGTTTTAATCATATCATTATTACTACCTATGATGAGCATATCATCCACATAAAGACATACAATGACATAACATTTGTCTGTGTTTTTAATATAAACACATTTGTCACACTCATTAATTTTAAATAATTATGATTGTGGGATTTCGTATCTGCTAGCTTTCTAGTTATTATTGGACTTTAGTTGTTGAGTTTGATATAATGCTTTTCATATTTAAAATTAATCTCTTATCAATTGTAGAAAAAATAAATAAATAAATAAAAATTGGGTGTATTTTGGGTTTCTCCTTCATTCATCTTCCTCATGTTAGAGACAGATGGAGTATTATCAATTACGTTGGGTTTTTCCCTAGTCGATAATCCAATTAGAAAGGGTGATTCTAGTTACACATTTTCAATTATTTAGGATTTTAGTCTATACCCTTTGACCACAAGTCTTGCCTTGTATTTGTCAATTAATCCATCCGCTTTCATTTTTCTTTTGAAAATCCACTAGTACTTAATAGGTTTACAACCTAGTGGTAAGTCCACTAATTCCCAAGTGTGATTTTGCAAGATGAATTCAACTTCACTATTGACAACTTCTTTCCATAAAGGAACTTCAGAACTGGACATAGCCTCTTTAAAAGTTAAAGGCTCATTTTCTAACAAAAAAGTTAGAAAATCTGAACCAAAGATTTTGAGGTTTTAGCACGTTTACTACGGCTAGGTCCATTTTCCTCATTTTGATCTATCGCTTGCTCTTGTTCTTGATCATGTTCTTGATCCTGACTAGTAATAACATCATGCGATCTTTTGTTAGTACTAGTCTCTTGTCCAGTTATATTTGAAAATACATGTTCAAAGAAAGATGCGTTCCGAGATTCAATAATAGTATTTATATGCATTTGGAATGTTCTAACTTATGAATAAAAAATCGATATGCACTACTATTCGTGGCATAACCAATGAAAATGCAATCAACGATTTTAGGACCTATCTTAGTCTTTTTAGGACTAGGAATAACCACTTTAGCCAAACACCTCCACACGTTTAAGTATTTGTAGGATGGTAT